ATGTTCCCGCAACGCGCGGGCCCCGCGCCCCCTGGAGTCCCAGGTGCGCGCACAGCCTAGGGCGCGTGGGCGTTGCGCTCGTGGCCCCGGGTTCCCTGGAGCCTGCGGAGTCGCGTCGCCTTTAGGCTGTGGTAAAGTTTAGGACCTTTGGCCAGGAAAAAAAAAGTCCTAAAGCCTGTATTTTCGTGCATTGGCTGAGAAAGGCCGCACTAACAGGCTTCCGGGTCCACCACGCTATTTATTGATCAAGGGGAGCGGGGAGCAAGCGCCACGTGTTCAAAAACCAAAATAAACAAAGCCTAGTTGCTTGAGTTGTTTCCTACAACAGAGGTGGGTGTGCCAGCTTTTACGTAATTTGCCTTTTCATTCCCTCCATCCTCAATGCTGGTGACTGGAGCAATTGTAATAAGGAAAGTTATTGACTTGATTAATTGCAGCCAGACATTTTAAGGTATTTTGTATCCAAAATTTCAATTTTGGTGAAGTGTATATAATGTAAACAAGTAGGGTAGGAGCCATCTGATAATGAGTTTTAAATGCGATAACTAATGTGTGTGCATGGAACTAACAGTCTTACCAACAACTGTTGAGCACATAGTAGATGCTTAAAACTTTTTGTTTTGTGTCTGGGGATCTGACTAAGATATGGGCTCTGTTGAAAACATTTGAAATATTAAATAAACACTGGTGCCGCGTCCGGCTAATCGGAGCCGAGTCCCGCGAGGGACGATGAGGTTAAAGAAAACACAGGACACCAAGGTTCTTCATCCAGGAGTCTCTCTCTTTATTGTCCGTGACCCCCTTTATATATCATTAGGCAGTAAGGGTGGGAGTTTGGAGGAGAAGAGTGGAAATTTACTGAGAAGGAGGTATGGGGGAAGTGAGGAATTTCTCTTATCACACCTCGGCCGGCAACTGCCAGATGCCTGCACTCCCTATGGCGCAGGGGTCTGCACTCCCTCACTGCCTTTATGGCGCCTCAGGCTGTTAGATAGGATGACCACAAATCTGCGTCCACCTTATCGGTTCAACCATCTGTTGCCATGGTAGCACAGCGGTGGGCGCATTCCTCGGAGTCCCAAGAGCTGGGTGCAACCGCGCCACCAACACACTGGGCCCTGCCTGGTGGCACAATAGGTTAAAGCACAGCACTATGAGGCTGTCTGCAGCAGCTGCAGCACCAGTTGGATATCCAGCCAGGGAGGTGACCCACAGGGCTCAGCTGACCCCTCTCCTGTCTGGCCGGTTGCTCCCCTCAGCTATGTATTTTAGTAGGTCTGCCTGTTCTGCTCCCCACTCTGTCTCTGGTGAGTCCTGTCGCTCATACACACACACACCTACACACCTCTGGCTTGTGCCCCAGTTTTTGTTTGCATAAGTCAATACATCTTTTAAAAAATAGTAAACACGTTCTTGTCCTTCAATAAAGTTTTTTTTTTCTAGTTATCTCAGGTTAATTGTCTGCAAGATTCTGGAATCTGCTAAAGTGCACATTTCAAATTAAAGGTTGAAATTTTTTTTAAAGTAGTAAAATAGGATTCTGGACGAGGTAAATATTTACATCTGCAGCTTTAATCTGCAGCTGTACCTAATCTTCTCGGCAAAAATAATGTAATACACCTTTATGTGGCACCACCGCGGCTAGACAAAATAAATCAAATCCCAAAGAGAATTTACAAAACAGCTGGACATTTGGATTAATTGGAGGGGAAAAAACCATTAAGAACAGACTAAGCAATTTTTTTCCCAGAGCATTTCACAATCCCATTGGTTGGAAAATCGAAGTACTTGCTCTTTGATTGTAATGCATATTCACAAAGTCCTTTGCAAAATCTTTTTAATCCATCACAACACTAAACTAACTTCTTAGATCAAGTATTTTCTTCCCCTCTCCCAGCAACTTTCTTGCCCCACTCCCATACCAGGGTAACAGTAGTTAGTTTTAAAAAGCAATCTCTGTCTTTGGGAATAATTATCCTCAGTGCTGTGCTATGATTTTGGGTTTGGGAAGATGATGTGGGCTGTCAAAAAGGAGGAGGTGGCCATTCTTTTTGATAGTAATTTGGAAGAGGTGCTGGATCAGAAAACCTGAACTCAGAAATGCTTTAGGCAGGAAAGCCGGGAGTACTTTGAGTACTCCTCGGTGTATGCAGCTAAAATGCCAGGTGGAGGTACCATTCTACGTGGGCAGGGAGCTAATGCTACTCCAGGCCTCTCAGCTGTTTTACTGTTCTTCTCTGAGTGGGATTGTTCTGCATATTGCTGGGCTTTAGCATGCTTACAGAAAGCCCATTAAGTAGGCATTGCCCCAACCCCATATCTCACCAAAAATGTCTCCACACATCCCCAACCATGGGAAAAATCCCAAGCTGAAAATATGCCTGATTACCCAGTTGCTACATGTGAGGAATTTTCCTTTTGTTATTTTGAACAGAGTTTAATTGTTCTGGTTGATTATGAGTTGTACTACAAGGTATAACCAAGACAAGAGTAGGCTTCCCTGAACACGTAGAAATTCTTCTTTTATTGAGGTAGAAAGAGAATGGTTCCTTTCCTGGTGGCTGTGCCACAAATGCATGTTAGAATGATGATGCTCTTGGACAGCATGTCATTCATTTATTAATTTACCTATTCAACAAACATTTCTATCACAGCAAGGAACAGAACAGACAAGGTCCCCTTTATAACTTATTTTTTGGCAATTTCTCTGACAAAGTATCAAATGTATGATGGAATAGACTGAGATTTAGTGTACATTGTACTATTCTATCAATAGTACCCAAATTTTTATAAACCTCAGTTATCATGGGAAAGGCTTTATGTTCATTTGGAGTTCATTTGCAATTTACTGTTTGGAGAACACTTAATTTCTCTGACAAACCCTTCTTTAAATAACTCAAGACAGGGTGGAAAAAAAAATGCTTTAAAGGTTTTGAGTCCTCTTTAGCTATCTTTCTTTTTATAATTTGAAGACTGGCTAAAAATCCATTCCAGATGTAATCTTTAGTGCCATCCTACCAAAGAACTTGCCTATTTTTATTTGCACCAAGGTCCAAAAAGGAGATTTAATGTCAGTCAAAAAAAATCTTGTATTTTCTGTAAAAGAGAGCTCTTGTAGAAATGGGAAGAGGGGTTGAAAAGGAGAGAATTATAACAGTATAATCTAAAGAAGGGAGGTTCATGTCTCCCCACCTGATGAGGGGAGGAGCTGGATGTGGAGGAAAGGCTAGAAATAACTGGGAGAAGGGTCATGGAGTGGAGATTTGAAAGAGAAAACTTTGAGGCAGCATATGGAGCAGAAAGACATGTGATGAAAAAGCCATCCTTGCTTCTTGGCTTTGGACTTGCATCAGGGACTTGAGGGACATGGAAGGAGAAACACGAAAGAAACACTGGTGAGAGATCCATGGGGAGGCTGACAATGGTGCCTTTATTTTGGCTTTTACTTTGAGTCTGCCCCTTTCCTTTCAGACTTGTTTGACCCACCTGCCCTCCTTCTCATTCCCTTCTGAAGGTGCTTTAGACTTGTGGCAGGTTTTCAGCCCTCAGTGGCCCCACTTTGAGCCAACTCTGTTGGGCTGGGCATTTACCCACAGGGGATGGGTAACTTTGGGTGTTTCACTGGGAAACTATAATCCTCTCTGTTGCTCAATAATTCTATTAAAGTTCTTTTCTATTAAAGGTCATACACACTAAGAACATGCTTTGTCTTGATACAATGGAGGGCAGAACCCACTTAGAGCATACAAATATGAGGGTCCTGGGGTGCCCCTCCTCTACCCACCAACAAGAGCAATGTTGTATTAATTTTACAAAAGAGATTCTGAGTGACAGCGAAAATGACAGCAGAGTTAAGATGTCTCTGCTGATGCAAAACGAAGTCAAAGTCCCTGAAGGAAAAACTGTATTGGCATACACAGTAGGAACATCAGCCCTATGGAGAGAAGTAGGAAGGACTCCAAGTGAAGTTTATTTAGGGTGATAACAGGGGCGTGCACCCCACAAGAGGGAGGAATTGCTGCAGCAGAGCACTGGGTAGCTATTGACTCAGGCAGCTGCCAACCTTAAGGCACCTACGACCAGCCCTGCACTGGGTGAGGGTGTGCAGAGCAGGCGCCCAGGACAGACGGTGCATTGCCAGGTGCTACAGCGGTGGGGACACAGAGCTAGGCCTA